TCGGGGCATGTGATCACAGCACCCCCACCACAGCCTTTGCCACTGGAAGCTCCATCCACATACATTTCCCACCAATGGTCCTGTACTCCTCCGTTCGCTCCTTCTTCAGTTGATCTGGCAGTGCATTCGGCAATGAAGTCAGCCAAAGCCTGTCCCTTGATCGTGGGGCGGGGCTTGAAGTCTATTTCATACTGCCCGATCAGGAGGGACCACTTGGTGATACGCCCACTTGCCATAGGATTTCTCAGTATGGTGGCCAGGGGCTGGGTGGTGTAGATGGTGACTGGGTGGGCCTGGAAATAGGGTGCCAGTCGCTTGATGGTAGCAATCAATGCTAAAATGGTTTTTTCCAGTAGGGTGTACCTGGTTTCTGGCCCGTTCAGGGCTTTGCTCACAAAGTATATAGGGCGCTGAACGCCCTCATCTTCCTTTAATAAAACAGAGCTGACCGCCAGATCAGCCACAGCCAGATACATATAGAGATGTTCCCCTGGGTCTGCTTTAGTTAAGACCAGGGGGGAAGACAGGTACAATTTGAATTCTTCAAAAGCTGCCTGACATTCTGCTGTCCATTCGAACGGGTTGGCCTTTTTCATTATTTGGAAGAATGGAATGGCGCGATCGGCCAGTTTAGCCATGAATCGGCTCAAAGCCGCTAACCTTCCGGTCAACTTCTGAACTTCTTTCAAGTTCCGCGGTGCTTCCATGTCCATGATTGCTTTTACTTTCTCAGGATTAGGCTCAATCCCCCGCTCGCTCATCATATAACCCAAAAATTTGCCCCCCTTGACTGCGAAGGCGCACTTTTTTGGATTCAGTCTCATGTTGGCCTTCTGCATGATCCCGAAGACCCTTTCCATATCCCGGACATGATCCTCCTTCTTTCTGCTCTTGATTAGGATGTCATCTACATATGCCTCCATGGTTACCCCTAGTACCTCTTTGAAAAGTATGCCGATCATTCTTTGAAAAGTGGCCATTGCATTCTTCAACCCGAACGGCATGACGATATAGCAGAACACGCCGTCCGAGGTGACGAACGCAGTTTTTTCTGCATCATCTGGGTGCATGAAGACTTGGTGATAACCCCGGAAGGCATCCATAAAGCTCAGCAGTTCACATCCTGCCGTTTCGTCCACCAGCAGGTCTATTCGTGGGACAGGATAGGGGTCCATGGGGCAGGCTTTGTTCAGATCAGAGTAGTCCACACACATTCTCCAAGTAGCTCCTTTTGGAGCAAGGACCACATTAGCCAACCATTCGACATGGATGACTGGTCTAATGTGCCTGATTCTCAGTAAGGTGGCTACCTCCTGCTTTGTGAATTCCCGCCGTTCGGCCGCCTGATATCTCTTCTTCTGTTGGACTGGCCTGGCATCAGGCCGAACGGCCAACTTGTGGCAGATGAGGGCCGGATCAATTCCCGGCATGTCTTCGGGTCCTCGGGCAAATAGGACCTGGAATCTCTTCAGGACAGCGATCACCCCCTCCCTGATTCCCCCTTCAAGGTCCACCCCGATCGCAATCTTACGATCGGGAGGGGAATCAAGCTCGATGTATTCTAAGAGGGTGGCTGGCTCGGGGCGTTCCTCGAACTCCGTACGCCGGGTCTGTACCTCAATGCTGTTTACCCGCTGTCCCCGGGTGGTCATTTGTTTCAACGCTTCCCGGTAGCACGTTCGGGCTATGGCAGGATCTGTTCGAGCCACTCCTACACCAGTGTCAGTTGGGAATTTGATGCATGAGTGTCGAACAGAGGCAATTGCCTCCAAATCTTCTAGCCCCGGACGGCCCAATATGGCGTTGTGGGCACATGCAATATCCACCACCACAAACGTCATCCGGACTGCCGCTCGGTGAATTTCATCACCAATTTCCACCAGAAGCTGGATGGTGCCCTCAGCCTCTATTACATTGCCGGTGAAGCTAGTCAGCGGTGTCTTCAGCTTGGTCAGCTGGTCCTTCTTCAGCTTCATCTTCTCCAACGTGCGTAAATACAGCACGTTCACACTACTTCCTGTGTCCACCAGAACTCGGTGGATCAAGGCGTTGTCTATACACATACTCACCACTAGCTCGTCCCTGTGCGGACTTGGTGAGTTGGGTAAATCAGCCACCCCGAACGTGATTGGCTCTAGGCGGCCCTTCTTTGTGGGAGGTGCAGCTACAGTGGCGACATAGAGGCTGCGCTCAAATTTCTTACGTTCGGCGGCCGTATCCCCGGTCTCTCCCCCGCCAAAGATGACTTTCACCTCCAATCGTGGCTTTTTTCCCGGATTCCCAGACCCCTCAGCCTCCTCTATAGGGGGAAGGTATGAATCATTACTGGGTTCTGCGTCCCGCTGGGCATCCCGCTTCCAGCTATTGGATCGGGGAGGGCGCTGATTGGGGGAAGGGCTGTTCGGGCTGGTGCTGACATACTTCCTCAGGTAGCCCTTTCGGATCAGGTCCTCAATTGCCACATGTAGGGCGTGGCAATCCTTCGTGAGGTGCCCATTCCGCTGGTGGTATCTGCAGTAGGAGCTTGGGGTAGGTCCCATCACGGGCCTTGTGTCAGTAGGGGGAGGAATAGCGTTGTGTTCCAAGTGGAAAACACCGGCTATAGACATGACCAGGGGGGTGAAGCGTGTAGTCCTTCGATGAGGTGCTGTAGTCGCTGGTGTGGGTCCCAGACGTTCTGCCAGTCTTGAAGTGGGAGGTTGCGGGGCCGTTCGGTCCCTTATCCTGATCTCTTCTTCCAGGGCCGCATAGTTCCTGGCCCTTTCCAGGATGTCTGGGTAGCTGGTCCCCGGATTTCTCTTCAGCTCCCTGTATAAGTCTCCCGTCTGAAGGGCATCGGTGAAAAGAAGGATGGCAGTCTCATCTGTCATGCCGGTCACCTTCAGGGTTTCGGTCCTCCACCTAGTGAGGAATCCAGAGATTGATTCTTTAGGCCCTTGCCTCACACTGGTTAGATACCCGAAATGTAATTTCGGGGTTGTGCTGGAGGCGAACTGAGCCAAGAACAAGGTGGATAGCTCCGCAAAGCTCCCGATCGACCCGGGTTGTAGTGTTCCGAACCATTCCTGGGCTGGTCCCCGAAGGGTACTGAAGAACAGCCTGCATATTGCCGCGTCGGTGGCCCCCAATAGCATGAGGCCACCCTGGTAACTCCTCAGGTGTACGTGGGGGTCTCCCACCCCATCGTATGCTAAGCCGGTCGAGGGACGGCAGTCCTTCAGGATTTCGGCATTCATGATTTCCCTAGTAAAGGGAGAGGTGATCCCAACCCGTGCTGGCGGGGTTTGTTGGGGCGCCCGGTTGACCTGCTCTCTGAGTTCAGTCATCTGCCTCCTCATTTCGGCCATTTCGTCGTCTTGGGCCGTTCGGGGAGTATGTGGCATCCTAGCATCGACATATTCTGGTATTCTGTTTTGGGGGGGAGCAGCTGTGTTAGCCCTCCTCCGGATGAATCGTTCCCCATCCCTCTGGATATACTGGAAGTGTTGTCCAACGGGATCTACCATGGGGGTAGGTTCCCTATATCCGTTTCGAGGGGCGGACGGGGTTCGACTGGTTGGTGCTCCCCGTCTGGGGGTATGGGCCCTCCAGTGGTTCCTGCGGTGTTCCTCGGAATGAACTGAGGCCATCGTGGTCTCAATGTCCTCCTCTTCGTCGAAAGATGGCATGGGACGCAACGGGGATGGTGGCTCATGAGTTTCATCCGTGTAGCCCCGCTCCTGTTCGTCCGCCATGCGTTGCATGGCCTCCGCCATATCCCTCATCAACTGAGGGTTCATCCTTACATCCTGGGGGATGATTTGCTCGAACTCCCGGGTGGCACTGCCACTGGCGTGTCCTTGCCTGGACCACCCCTCAGAGGATCTATGGCCTCCTCGTCCTCTGGATGCAGAACTCGGTGTAGCGGTATGAAGCCTAGCCATTTCAAAAAATGGTGCTTAGATCAGCTGTTTTCCTTGAACTTTTAGTTCGTTTCCCACAGACGGCGCCAATGTTGAGGTTTATTCCCGAAGATCTGAAAGCCCAACACAAGCCTCGGATATTGTAGGGATATTGGGTAGGGTTGAAATGTGTATAAAATATAAAACAGTGAGATATTTGCTCAACTCAGAAGCTTACCGATATTCAATAAATATGTGGTTACACTGAGACTACCCGAACGGTAGATGAATATGAGATTACAAGGATAGGAGATGTAAATCTATTGCTAAGCTCTGAGTATTAAAATGCTAACCCTTTACAATGATCTAAACATGGGTATTTATACTAAAATGGGGATGGGTAAGGTGGACACGTGGTCGAATCTGGTAGGCTATCACCTCTGCCATGTAAGCACCCATGCCCCCACTTGCTGCCGCCATGATCCAGCATTAAATGCGGCCTCCACTTGCTGATTGCCCGTTCGGTCAAGGTGTTCGGTGTGTGGGACCCCGCCATAGGTGATAATTTCTACCTGAAGTATCCCGAACGCCGATCGATATTTGGGCCTTGATACCTTGGCATAATCGTTATCCAGAATATTCCAAGTATAAGTTTTATCCCGAATGCCGTTCGGGAGTTCTTTGGGCTTGCTGCTTCTTCCCGGATTTGGGCCTAGGGATATTGGGCCTGGACCCAATATCCCAACAACTATATATATATAATGATTCCGTAACAGTTCTACGTACATATTTTTTTTCAGAAATCAAGAATCGAACTGTTAAAATTAACGGGAATCGAACATTCAGCAAATGAATACATTGTACTACGTAACTAATAAATGTTAGAAAAGAACCGAATCATATCATAACAATTTGATCAAATTCATTCTTGGTTCCAAAGTCTCTGGTTCTTGGTTCCAAAGTCCGACCCGTCACAGTAGCCTGTGGCACTCTACTCATGGGCTTGCCTAGTTCTCTCAACAGTCAACACCCCACCCACGCCGCCTTAATGGACTCGCAACATGAGTAGCATGGCAGCGTAATAGCTGCCAAGTGCCAACAATTCCCTTACTTTTTCCCCTTGCATTGTGCTGCGGGCCTATCCAACCCGATAAACATCATCCCCCACCCGCAGACTCACCCATATATCTTCCTTCAAATTCCACCATCTAATTTGAAATCTGAAACCCCACCTTGAAATCCATTCAGAAAATGGGTCTGTTCCTTGGCAAAATACTCGTCGAAACCCCGAAATACGACGTGATTCAGTCCGCCGCGGAGTACGAAATCCGCAAGTACCCGGCATCGGTGATAGCAGAGGTCACGTACGACCCGACCCGGTTCAAAGGCAACAAGGACGGCGGCTTCACCCTGCTCGCCAGCTACATCGGCGCGTTCGGCAGCCCGCAGAACGAGAAGCCGGAGAAGATCGAGATGACGGCGCCGGTGATCACCAAGGAGTCCGAGAAGATCGAGATGACGGCGCCGGTCGTGACCAAGGACGGCGGAGAGGGGAAGTCCGTGACGATGCAGTTTATTCTGCCGGCCAAGTACACGAGGGCGGAGGAGGCGCCGAAGCCGCTGGACGAGCGGGTGGTGATCAGGGAGGAAGGGGAGAGGAAGTTCGCGGTGGTGAGATTCAGCGGGAGAACAACGGATAGCGTGGTGAAGGAGAAGGTTGAGAGCTTGAAGAAGTGTTTGGAGAGGGATGGGTATAGAGTAATTGGGGATTTTGAGCTGGCAAGGTATAATCCGCCATGGACGCTGCCTCCTCTGAGGACGAACGAAATCATGATTCCGGTGGCCGTGGAATGAAAACCGACCGGGCTGGGTTCCTGCTTGGTTGTAATTGTGATTTTCGATTTCCGTCCTTCGTCCTCGGTGTTTTTATCCTTTTGTATTTTACAATGTAATTCCAGTTTTATGCATTTTCCTGGCTTGGATTAATGCTGTAGTTTGTTATATTTGTGTGTAAATCATGCTATGAACTTAATAAGTGAATAATACAAGTATTAATCATACAAAGAAAAAATCATGTCAAGGGCATTTTCTTTGCAAATTATTTTAAACTTGTAACAAACTCTGATCATTAGGGCATCACCATCCATAAGATTATTAAGTGATTATTCTAGTGACGTGGCAGATTATTTGGGAGAGCGTGGTTGAGTAAGAGAGATTATTGGACAGAATTAATTGATAGAATAATCCGAGATCAAAATATGAAATCGGATTATTTTGAGATTATCTATGAAATTAGAGTTACTTAGTTGCTACAGGACCCACAAAAGATCAGATTATTTCGGGATGATGGTTGAAGGTAATTCGGAGGGGATGAGATTATTTCCAAAACATTTATGTGGAAAATTTTAAAAGGTAAGAGTCACAAATAATCAGATTATTTTAAAATTATGAATGTGGATGCTCTTAGTGTCTGAAATCAAAATTCGATTTTTGGTTGGATAAAGGCGGATAAAATTAAGAAAAAATAGGTGTTAAAATCATTATTCACAATAGATTAGGTCAGTCACTGAGTTCTATTAAAATAGGTCAGTCAAGGAGGGTGGTTCTGTTAAGTGATTGGAACAAGATTTTAGAACCTTGGTTAGGTTCTTGCCGGAGTACGCGATCAATGAGGACCGCATGTCAGAACACTTTTGGGATGCCTTATTCTCAGACATCCGTGATCGAGCTACGTACTCGCGTCACATGACTTTTAGCGAGGTGGTAGAACAGGCTCAACAGGGCCTACTTGGGGAGGCTCAATGGAATGAGAGAAAAGAGAGACGCCGAAGAGGCGAAAAAGAGGAAATTGCATAGTTCAGGCCGCCCGAGCAAGCACGGAAGGATAACCACGGTGGAGGTGGTGGTTCGTTTAAAGCACCGGCACCACTGGCAAAGAAGAACAGGGATGCCCGGTGGCACGCATCCTCCTCTCAAAAGACGGGGCCTCCTAAGTGTGCCAATTGTTCGAAAAATCATTTCGGGAAGTGCAACGCACCTCCGAGGTGTTATCAATGTGGGAACACGGGCCACATGAAAGCCAATTGCCCACAACTAGGGGGGGAGGAGCTTCGGGGTCCGAAGGAGGTACTTTGACGGGAAGAAACCGTGCGGGACCGTCAAACGGCGGTACGGGAAGAGGCGGCGCATCCACAAGCCATGCTGCGTCCGTAAATCAAGGAGGGACCCAAGCACGAGTGTACGCGATGACCGAGGCGGATGCGCGAGCAAACTCGGACTCCATCGCAGGTAATACACTTATTTTTCTGTGTTTCTAGGCTTATTTTGACCATATAAGTCGTTTGGATTGGGTGCGGGACCGTGGGCCACCCCAGGGTCAAACCACGCGAATTCGGGGCATAACGGGCTGAAAACAGCCACGCACGATCGTGCGTACCCCTGGACGCACGATCGTGCGTACCCCTGGACGCACGACCATGCGTACGAGGCAGTGGCCTCCAGCAGTTTTCGCACAGACGCACGGTCGTGCGTGCATGTAGGCACGCCATGCATGACCAGCTACGCACGATCGTGCGTAGCCGGCAGTAGCGTCTCCCCGGTTTTTCACGCACGCACGACCGTGCGTGGATCCCTGACACCCGAAAATTGATTTTTTCGCTCCGTTCTCCTACGTTTGGACCCCCATTTGATGTCAAACATTAATATGAACCCAATAACCTCCTAAAAGTGTGTAAAAACATTAGAAAAGGTATCTTACATGGTGTATAAATGTAGGAACATTAAAGATCAATGGTAGGTGTGCGAGGATCCTCATCGATACCGGGGCACAACGCTCATTTGTGAGTGAGGCGTTCGCCGAGGGCCATGACGTGTCATTGACGCCTATGACGCAAATATTGCTAGTCTCCACACCGTTAGGAGACGACGTGAAGAGAAATCATTAATATCCATCATGTGAGGTGGAAGTGACGGGTCACCTTTGACTTGTGATTTCGTACCTCTAAGCATGTCGGAGTTTGATGCAATCCTAGGGATGGATTGGCTCGAGAAACACCATGCTCGAGTAGATTGTTACACCAAGGTGTTGGAGCTCGAGGATGATAAAGGAAACACGTTATGTTTCGAAGGAGATCGGGGAAAGTCTCATGCATGTATCATATCCGTGATGAGAGCACGAAAGATGATGAGGAAGGGATGCCACACATACCTTGCTTACGTGGTAGACGATACAAAGAAAGAAGTTGACATCAAGGATGTACGGGTCATGTGCAAGTACCCGGACGTTTTTCTCAAAGACCTATCGGGGCTTCCGCCCGATAGAGAGATCGAATTTGTAATTGAAGTGGAGCCGGGAACCAAACCCATTTCGATTCCTCCTTATCGAATGGCATCGGCCGAACTTCAAGAGTTGAAGGTCCAACTATAAGAATTATTGGACAACGGGTTCATCAGACCCAGTCATTCACCGTGGGGAGCACCTGTACTCTTCGTGAAGAAGAAAGATGGTACATTAAGAATGTGTATCGACTACCGACAATTGAACAAGGTCACAATCAAGAACAGGTATCCTTTACTGAGGATTGATGACTTGTTTGATCAACTTCGAGGGGCAATAATATTCTCGAAGATTGATTTGAGGTCGGGGTATCATCAGTTGAAGATCAATGAGAGTGACATACCTAAGAGTGCATTTCGCACTAGATACGGTCACTACGAGTTTCTTGTGATGTCATTTGGTTTGACCAACGCACCGACAGCATTCATGGACTTGATGAACCAAGTGTTTAGTGAATACTTAGATCAATTTGTGATAGTATTCATTGATGATATCTTGATATACTCCAAGAACGAGGAGGAGCACGAACATCATTTGAGGCTTGTACTTGATCGGCTAAGGGAAAAACAACTCTTTGAAATCTATACTAGAGGAGGCTCATTCTTCAGCGTATGCTATGCATCCGGGAGATACTAAGATGTACCGAGATTTGAAGGAAAGTTACTGGTGGTCAGTTATGAAGAGAGACATCGCAGAATATGTGAGTCGATGCCTTACTTGCCAGCAAGTTAAGGCAGAGCATCAGCACCCGGCAGGGCTTTTGCAGCCACTCACCATCCCAGAGTGGAAGTGGGAGCACGTGACCTTGGACTTCGTGGTGGGACTACCACGAACAGTGAACAACTATGACGCAGTATGGGTAGTGGTTGATAGGCTCACCAAGAGTGCACACTTTTTGCCTGTCAACTTTACTTATCCTCTTGAAAGATTGGTCAAGCTATACACGGAGGAGATTGTGAGATTACATGGAGTCCCGATATCCATTGTCTTGGATAGGGATCCACGGTTCACATCCCGATTTTAGCCAAAGTTTTAAGCATCATTGGGAACTAAACTGAAGTTTAGCACAACTTTTCATCCACGGACGGATGGACAGTCCAAGCGAGTGATACAGATTTTGGAACACATGCGTAGGGCATGTGCTCTGGAGTTCCAAGGAAGTTGGGACAAACACTTGGCTCTAGTGGAGTTTGCTTATAACAACAGTTATCAGGCAAGTATCGGCATGCTTCCATATGAGGCATTGTATGGGAGGAAATGCAGAACACCGTTGTGTTGGGACGAGGTTGGCGAGGCCAAACTCGAAGGGATAGAACTGGTTGAGATCACCAAGGCCAAGGTGAGAATCATTCAGGATAGACTGAAGGTTGCTCAGGACCGACAGAAGAGTTATGCTGATAAACGGCGGAGACCGTTGGATTTCGAAGTCGGTGATAAGGTTTTTCTAAGGATTTCTCCTTGGAAGGGCATCATTCGATTTGTATCGAGGGGAAAGCTTAACCCCCGATACATCGGTCCATTTGAGATCCTTGAAAGGATTGGGGCCGTGGCTTATCATCTCAAGTTAACACCAGAACTTGAGAAGATACATGACATGTTTCATGTATCAATGCTCAAGAAGTACATACAAGACCCATCTCATATTCTTGAGAAACCGCAGGTAGAGATCCGTGAGGATTTGCAATATGCGGTAGAGCCGGAGAAGATAGTAGGTCAACATGTGAAGAAGCTTAGGAACAAGGAGATTCCTATGGTAAAAGTTCTGTGGAGAAGTGATCGGGTCGAAGAAGAAACATGGGAGACCGAGGTCTCAATGAGGGAGCAATACCCATTTCTTTTCGATTAGACACGTGGATTTCGAGGACAAAATCCCAAATAAGGGGGGTGAACTTGTAACACCGTCCCCAAATATATTTACTTTTAAGTAAATGATGTAATAAACCTTATGGAATGATTAATGAATTTACGAAGTTGTAAATTTTTATTATTTCTTTCGCGTGAATAGTAAATTTCACGTGGGACCCACATCGGGAGCGGGGGCCACCCGATATTTCCGAGGCCATATATTTTATTCATCTTGACCTAGATAATAATTATATGGTGGTGGATATATTATTTGAGCCATAGAAAGGCCCAGGGTTGGCCGATTGGTCAAAAACAACCCAATTGCCAGTACCGACAATTTATCAAATAACAGCCCGAAAATGAATTTCGGAGACTTCTAAATTAAAGTTTTGTAATATGTATTATTTGAAAAGACCATTATGTTGGAGAATACATAATATATTTTATTTGACCCGATAAAATAAAATATATTTAAAACAGTCCGAAAAATACAACTTTCGGGGCTAAATGTAATTTTGAGACACAAAGGGATGACCTCCCACATGAGTGGGGGCCACCCCACGTTTTTGTGAGCTGGTATAGGCAAGGAAATGGGCTGGTTGACTTGTAAGGGAAGAGGGTGAGGTGATGAGCATCAAAGGTACACTCATGGACCCCATTCTTGCTCACTCATTGTCCAAGCAAGACAAAAGAGCCAACTCCAACCCCCATCACCCCATTATCTCGGACAGACCATCCAAGGGAGAGAGAAAGAGCTTTCAAACTCATCTTCATTGCTGCAAATTAGAGCTCAAGCATAAGTGCTCAAAGGAGGAAGATTAAAGAGAGTAAAAGTTGGGAAAAGTGTGAACAATTAAGGTAATGACCTTATTAGAACTTTTCCTTTATTTTTCTTCTACCATATGAGGTATATATCATATGAAGGACCCTTAGTATGGTTCCACATGTTATAAGTATGGATTTATGGGTTGGAAGGTGGTTCTACGTCCAAGAACGGA